GGGCATATTTAAGTTCAGTTAGTCTAGTAAAGAGAAGTTTTTTAGGTTGTCAATAGTTCAAAAATAAAACTAATAATTCACGCCTAATTTAAAAGTGTTTTCAATACGTCTTTCAAGTTAATTGATATTACTTTGGGCATTGGAAAATCTGCTAAAGTGACAAAGAGTAGGTGTGACCATATGAATAAAGATGAATATATTAAACCAAGAGTTTAACTTGTATGCACTGTCGGTGTATATTTTTTTACACTAACACATACTTTTTAAGGCAAGTTTCTTTTTTATTATTAATATTTTTATTTTATAAAATATAAATATCAAATATAGTACTATAAGGTAATTAGGATTCTATTTTTATTTTACCCATTAGTTTAGGATTCTCTATCCTTACTAAATGAAATTACCATGTTTGTTTTACCCGTGTTCCTTTAACCGTATTGTTGAGTCTCTTCTTCAATAGCAGTGAAGCAAATTACAAGCATTCACCATTGAAACAGTTTAAAGAGAAAGGTAATTATTGACTATTATTTATTCGTTATTTATATCTATTTCAAATTTACAATATACGTGTAATCAAGTCCATTGCCATTAATTTTCAACATTCACAACCTATAACATTTTGTTCGTCTCTACACCAATTATCAAAATTCCTCTGTTTTCTTTTTTTAATGGAGTTTGGTGGATTCTTGCCCCTTCTTTTTTTTGGAATTCTTCTCCACTTAATTAATCTAATATTCATTAACTAGGAAAAAATAGGACTTTCTAAGGAAGACGTAATATGCAGTGTCTGCCGTTAAACCCATATTTGATGTTTGGAGCATTTATGTCTGCATTTTAAGTGTTGGAGTTCAAAGAATTGAGCATAGTGAATTCTAGTGAGCCAGAAGCTTGTTTCATGAAGAAACACCCTGAGCAAAATACAAAAGGTGTTGAAGCTTCACGGGAGGAAATAGAAAGTAACAAGAATGCAATTGTATCATTTATTTCCCAATTTGGTGGTGAAGAATTGAGAGTGATATTAGGTCATTATGGGTTAAAAGATGCCTACAACAGCTAAACTTGTGCAGAGAAACAAAAATGAAGTTGTGTGAATCTCAAATTCATGGAGAGAGATATCGAAGATGTTGCCAGGGAGAATCAAAAAGTTTAATTTCTTTATTAAAACTAGTGAATTTGTGCATATTAGAGATAATGTAATACAATTTCAGATTTTGTTAACTTGTGAATTATTTTTGGACTTTAAGTCTAAACTAGCAACAAGAACTATGACGCCACAATTTCAATCAAGTTGGGATTAGCTATATGAATCTTCATTGATCATATTGCTCCATTTAAGATATCTCAAATTGTTCTTTTAAACTCTTGAAAGTTATGTTATATTGATGTACACTCGTAGACATAAAACTGATCTCGGAAATTCAGTTAAGTTTATGGATAATTTGTGGCAGAAAATTTGTGAATGTGATTTATTTAGTTGAAAAAAAAAACTACAATGTTTAGGTTAAAGGAACACGGGTAAAACAAACATGGTAATTTCATTTAGTAAGGATAGAGAATCCTAAACTAATGGGTAAAATAAAATAGAATCCTAATTACCTTATAGTACTATATTTGATATTTATATTTTATAAAATAAAAATATTAATAATAAAAAAGAAACTTGCCTTAAAAAGTATGTGCCAGTGTAAAAAAAATATACACCGACAGTGCATACAAGTTAAACTCTTGGTTTAATATATTCATCTTTATTCATATGGTCACACCTACTCTTTGTCACTTTAGCAGATTTTCCAATGCCCAAAGTAATATCAATTAACTTGAAAGACGTATTGAAAACACTTTTAAATTAGGCGTGAATTATTAGTTTTATTTTTGAACTATTGACAACCTAAAAAACTTCTCTTTACTAGACTAACTGAACTTAAATATGCCCCCAATCTTGTATCATGAGTGAAATACATTCCTAAATTCTTGCCAAGTATAAGAGTGCATGTTTTCAATATTTCTTTCGGCTTTTTATCAAGAGTCACATGCTTCTACAAGAGTGTGAAATCACCTGTTATGTCATGTGACTGGTTGGGAGTGATCGAAGGTGTATCTAAATTTAGTTAGTCAAGTAGAAGAGTGTTTTATAAGGCTGTCAATAGTTTAGAAACGAAATTAATAATTTATACATAATTTGTTCAATACTTCTCTCAATTAACTTATACTTATGTATTTGATATGATTAAAAATATTGGTGAGCAAAAATATATATAATCTTTTTCTGAAAATATATTTATTTTAATTAATAATTGCCTATCGGAAACTGTTTCGACCTAATTATTCTTTAGCATTAAAGATGATGAGAATTAAATATTGTTGAAGTGAATAGTATGAAGTTCATACTATTCTCATTAATTTTTATAACTTCTGTGTCTTATTTTTTAACTTCTAATACGACAAGGAAAGTACATCAATTGTACACTTCCTTTCACATGCGGGTTTAATTTTTTTATTTATTTATATATATATATATATATGACCACCTTTTTTTAATAATGAGTGACCGTGAAATTTGAGTAATACATAATTATTCTTATACTATATATATTGAAGTATATGTTATCTCAACAAAGAACTTAACTATGTATCGTATATGTTATCTCATCAAAGAACTTAACTACACTATTAAAAAGAACATATTTTATTGATTTAATTATATTTTCAATAATATTATGTTTAAGTTTTTGATATATTTATTATTTTGGTAACAACTAAATTCGTAGTCATTACTTTTTGTAATTTGCCTCAAAATAAATCTTGCTCTAATATAATAATACACAAATTATTTATAAGTATAAATTACACTAATTAAACACACCATATAACAAATTTGATGGAGAAACACATGCAGATGACATTGAACTACGACCTCCTTTATCACGATGAATATATTAACTTTACACGGCACTACGTACGTACCTTTTACAACTGTGACAAATTCACAAGTTGCAAAATTAAACAAATTATTATTCCTCATTAAAATATTCTTAGAAATACTTTAAAAATTAATAAATTTTTTAAGTTTTTGATATAAAATTTAAATACTTAAAAATTTGCTTGAATTTAAAAATTCGATAAGTATCACATCAATTAAGATGAAAGAAACAACCACTTAAAAGTTGAAAATTCGACTAATGAAGTAATTACTTGGAAGCTGAAAGTTCTCTTGAATATTCCCACATCATCTTGTCAACCTCGAAGAGCAACTTTGTAACTAGTGGTATAAAATACTACTCTCTTCATTTCATATTAATTAAATTTTTGAGACATTTTTCATTTTTCAAATTAATTTAATTGTTCAATTTTCAAGACTACGTTTAGAGTGTTCTTCCAATTTTACCCTTCATTTGGATTTTCAATGTGATGACTTTAATAAATTTGACAATAATTAATAAGGGTAAAAGTGAAAACTATGTTCAATTTATGTCTTCATCTACTATTTTTAAAGGATGTGAAACACCGCAAAAATTCAATTAATATAAATTGCAGGGAGTATAAATAAGATAATGCATTTATTTTATTTAAAATAAATAAAATGACACCTATTTACGTTACCTAGAAAAGAACAAATTGGCTTTAGTCAGCACAGACGTCATTAATCCAATTATTAGTAAATACAAAAATAAAACTACATACTCCAATCAAGTAGTACTATATATATATACACTATTGGCCATGCAAACGTAAATCATGTAACAAAAAAAAAAAAAAAAAAAAAAAAAAAAAAAAGAGAACATTATATATATTGATCCATAGCATTTAATGCCATAAAATTTCCGTTAATAAAAGAAAGAGAACAACATTCCATGTGGTGGTCAACACATATTTGGTATAGCACGTGACAATTATTGATAACGAATTTAAAATTTAAATTTTATAAATTTGAAACTAACTTATTATATTTTTAAAGTTACAAATCCATAATTACTAGTATATTTATTACAATTTGAATAATATTTTATATATAAATTAATTTTTTTACATTAAAAATATTAGATTCAGATGAAATCGATACTATAACGTTAGATCAGCCCGTGATAGATGCATCAAAATCCATGCCCAACTTCAATCTCTACATTGTATCTGGCTATCTTAGATTAGGCAGTAGCTTGCCAGAAGTTTTTATTTTTATAATAATTGAATTAAAAAAAATAATAATAACAGAAACATATCCAAGACAACTCATGTCATGCATGACAAATTCTGAAATTGGGCTTACTGGCTACTGCATGAAAGGTATGGCTCACTAACAAATATAAAATACTAGTGCCCATAACGATGTGATGGAGTAGTGAGTTTACTCTCTCTTTAGTTAGAGGTCTCGATTTTTAATTTTAAATATGGAGGAAATTTTGTTAGGAGTATCACTCTCAAATGAGCTTTGCATTGCACGATTCGAATTTAGGTGAAGCTCCAGTGGTGAGAAATTACCAAACGTAATACATACAATAGTAGAATTTATTTATTTTCTTGCGTCAATTTGTTTTCTTTTTTAGATCGTTTGATAAAAATGTCTTTTTCCTTTTGGTAATTATTTAATTTTTGATTTTTCACGTGATATATTTAAGATTAGAGAATTAAAGAACGTTTTAGTACATATATTTAATTTAAGATTTTAAAACTTAAAGGTCTTATTTTCTTTTGTAAATTACGTATCAAATTAAAATTAGTTAAATAAATAAAAACAAAATATTTGTTGTGCAAGTAAGATAAATATGACATCTGGTGTTTTTTTATAGTATTAAATAAATTAAAAGAAAGAAACAAAAAGGCAGTACCGGCAAAATTTGTCTTCTCATCAATTTCGTCACCTCAAACGTCATATGACATGCATGTGTTTAAATTTGGTCGTCAAACATGTTACTCAAACGTAGAAATGGACATGATACGATAGATATTGAAACTCTTTATATATATCCCTCTAACTATCATCATATATACCACACAATAATTAAGAGTCTTACAAGTCAATGATTTCTCTAACACAATACTAAAGTCTACTTTCATTCATTTGTCCTCGAACTTTGAACTTAGGTTCTATTTTTAAGTTTGTGAGTGTAAAAATGGTGCAACCCCATGTCCTCTTGGTGACATTTCCCGCACAAGGTCATATCAATCCATCTCTTCAATTTGCCAAGAGGCTAATCAAAATGGGCATTGAGGTGACATTCACCACTAGCATTTTCGCCCATCGTCGTATGGCGAAAACCGCGGCTTCCACCGCACCCAAGGGCTTAAACTTGGCGGCATTCTCTGATGGATTTGATGATGGTTTCAAGTCTAACGTGGATGATTCTAAATGTTACATGTCGGAGATAAGAAGTCGTGGGTCTCAAACATTAAGGGATATCATTCTGAAGAGTTCAGACGAGGGACGTCCTGTCACGTCCCTCGTCTACACTCTTCTGCTACCTTGGGCAGCTGAGGTAGCGCGTGAACTCCACATTCCATCCGCGTTACTATGGATTCAACCAGCAACTGTGCTAGACATATACTACTATTACTTCAATGGCTATGAGGATGAAATGAAGTGTAGCTCAAATGATCCAAATTGGAGTATCCAATTACCAAGGCTTCCATTACTAAAAAGCCAAGATCTTCCATCCTTTTTAGTTTCATCTAGCTCTAAAGATGATAAGTATAGTTTTGCTCTACCAACATTTAAAGAGCAACTAGACACATTAGATGGTGAAGAAAATCCAAAGGTACTTGTGAATACATTTGATGCATTAGAGCTAGAGCCACTCAAAGCTATTGAAAAATACAATTTAATTGGAATTGGACCATTGATTCCTTCATCATTCTTGGGTGGAAAAGATTCATTGGAATCTTCATTTGGTGGTGATCTTTTTCAAAAGTCAAATGATGACTACATAAAATGGTTAAGCACAAAGCGTAAATCATCAATTGTTTATATCTCATTTGGGAGTCTATTGAATTTATCAAGAAACCAAAAGGAGGAGATTGCAAAAGGGTTGATAGAGATTAAAAGGCCATTCTTATGGGTAATAAGAGATCAAGAAAATATAAAAGAAGTAGAAAAAGAAGAAGAGAAATTAAGTTGCATGATGGAATTAGAGAAGCAAGGGAAAATAGTACCATGGTGTTCACAACTTGAAGTCTTAACACATCCATCTTTAGGATGTTTTGTCTCGCATTTTGGATGGAATTCAACTCTGGAGAGTTGTAGCTCAAATGATCCAAATTGGAGTATCCAATTACCAAGGCTTCCATTACTAAAAAGCCAAGATCTTCCATCCTTTTTAGTTTCATCTAGCTCAAAAGATGATAAGTATAGTTTTGCTCTACCAACATTTAAAGAGCAACTAGACACATTAGATGGTGAAGAAAATCCAAAGGTACTTGTGAATACATTTGATGCATTAGAGCTAGAGCCACTCAAAGCTATTGAAAAATACAATTTAATTGGAATTGGACCATTGATTCCTTCATCATTCTTGGGTGGAAAAGATTCATTGGAATCTTCATTTGGTGGTGATCTTTTTCAAAAGTCAGATGATGACTACATGGAATGGTTAAACACAAAACCTAAATCATCAATTGTTTATATCTCATTTGGGAGTCTATTAAATTTATCAAGAAACCAAAAGGAGGAGATTGCAAAAGGGTTGATAGAGATTAAAAGGCCATTCTTATGGGTAATAAGAGATCAAGAAAATATAAAAGAAGTAGAAAAAGAAGAAGAGAAATTAAGTTGCATGATGGAATTAGAGAAGCAAGGGAAAATAGTACCATGGTGTTCACAACTTGAAGTCTTAACACATCCATCTTTAGGATGTTTTGTCTCGCACTGTGGATGGAATTCGACTCTGGAGAGCCTGTCGTCAGGCGTACCTGTGGTGGCATTTCCTCATTGGACAGATCAAGGGACTAATGCAAAATTGATTGAAGATGTTTGGAAGACAGGTGTCAGGATGAGAGTGAGTGAAGATGGTGTGGTTGAGAGTGAAGAGATAAAAAGGTGCATAGAAATTGTAATGGATGGTGGAGAAAAAGGAGAAGAAATGAGAAAGAATGCACAAAAATGGAAAGAATTGGCAAGAGAAGCTGTGAAAGAATGTGGATCTTCAGAAGTGAATCTAAAAGCTTTTGTTCAAGAAGTTGGCAAAAGTTGTTGAAAAATTAAATTTCTTGATGAGAAATTGTTTCCTAATTGTAATTTTCTTTTTTTTTTCACAATAAAATTTGGAGTTATATACATTGACCACGTAAAAGAATTATTATAATTTACTTTTCTTTATAAGTAAACTTACTTCACCTAGAAAATATGGCATGCAACCAATCGGGCTCACCCTAAATTCAAAATTTTCAATGCAGAATATGAATTTACGTGAAGAAATGAAAAAAAATACAAGAAATAATAGATATGACTTCTGAATCTTTTTAAAATAAGTTGGTTAGATACTTAAAACTGGAATCAATAAATTTTAAATTCTGAATATACGTTTCTACTTATTATAAATTATAATCGATTAAATTACGGCCATAAATTCTATGCGTTAATTGTGTCAAAAGATTACACCATCAAGTTGATCACTTTAAATGCAACTATAAGTAATTCCTTAGGCAAATATTAATCAAAATAGGATGAAATCTTCTGTGTAAGAATTCTTTTACACCGTCAACATACATAAAATTATATCTTAAATCAAATCTATGTTTTAATTTTTGTCATTTTCATATATTAGTAAATAAAGACATGCCACGTACAATTCAATTTAATTTTTATCAATCTGTCCATTGAGTCAAAATATGAAACCTTGTGAGGTGAAAGATCACGGCCATGGAGAGTATAAATTTTGTGTTAAAATTATTAAATTTTATTGAATCTTTTGTTGTTGTAGTTCTTTTCTCACTAGGTTTTGGATGACTTATGGATTACTATATTTCCTGTTTTTATTAATTAATGTTACGCATTACTTGAGGTGAGTGTCTATCGAGAATAACTTCTCTATCTTCATTATGTAGGGATAAGACAACGTACACACCACTCTTTTCAAACCTGACTTGTGAAATGACACTGAATATATTGTTATTGTTATTATTGTAGTTTAATATAGCACATGTTCATTATTTAATCAAATTGAAATAATATAAATAGTGTATGTAGTTTTATTAATTAAAGGCACATTTTTTTATTGAAATATCAGTACAACACTTTTGTTCAATTTCATGTAATTAAAAGAATGTTTAATTGTATTCCATTTTATTAATAAGAAAACATTTTCTTTTCTTACATAAAAACATGATGTTTGAGCTGACGAATTATACTCAACTACATGGTAACTAACACTAAATTATTGAATCATACAAATTTATTCTTACATCATGTACTAGTAACAACTATGGAGAAGTTAGATGAATATTCTTTCAAAATATTAAAATAGAGAATATAAAACTGCCACAAGTTTTGTCGTAATTTTAAATGTGTCATAGAATAATGTTGGAATTTGAAAACTTACTAATTATAAAAAGAGACATTTAAAGATAAATTAAAAAGAAAGTACGATACTTAAATTGAAACGAAGAGAGTAATAAATATAGTGGCCATAGATTCCAATTACTTTTAAAATTTATAAAGCTGAAGTTGAAGATTTTTTTTTATTCGAAACTTGAAAGACAAAACCCACAACTTCTATAGCTTATGAGAGTTTATTTCAAAAATGGTGAATACCAAAAAGGAAATATCGATAGAATTATAAAGCAACACCCCCCCCCCCACCATTATTTCATCAACAACTTAGAAATATCGAAACCATTAATCAGTATTTGATGAATGATACGATTATCCACATGATGTACTATTGACAGAGTCGACAAACAACAAGGTGATCGTGTCTGTAAGGAAGTTTTACGAATCTGTAAAATCATCCTTTTGGAGAATATTTACAAGGCGTGAAAGATCTAAGGCAGGTTCGAGGACAAACATTGGTACTAATGTCTTTCCATGCATTTGCAATTTGCCTCTGAGCCTCAACATATGCCTCTTGTTTTGAAGCTCCATACTCTTTCATGTAATATTCAATGAATGAAGCTCCATGTTCTCTTTGTTGTTCGTGTTACATCAAATACATTTCAGTACGGCGTTTAAATATCTATTTTATTAAGTTCAAACTATATAATATGTTGGCGTATATATATTTACTTACTTCATGTCCAATAATATCGTCCTTTAATCGATTGATTAGTGATGAAGCTGGAGCGACCAAAGACTCATTTATCATCCATTCAAAAGTCTCGTTGGATATAAATTCCCCCGCAACAATCAAACATGCATGTAATCAAAATCATTTGATTGGAAACAGTTATAGTAGTGTTTTTCTTTTTGGTCGAACAAACACATTTTATTCTCAAAACGTATAGAACCCAGTTACAGCAAATCAAAGCATGGAAATGAAACGAAGCTAGTCCATCCTATATAATTCCATCAACTATTCCTACACTTTTCTATTTATATAATTGCTCTATCCAGTATCTATCTTTACACCTATGCTTCCTTTTTAGTATTTCAAAGATTCTCACTTTACTTTCCATTTGTATCTTCTGCAATATCATCTGTGTCTTGGCACTTTCTGATTCCAAACTGCATCATTCCTCGCCTGCCATTTATAATATACTAGTGCCGCCAGTATTGCCCATATCAGCCCTCTACTCATTTTTCCTGTTACTCCTTTCCATATCTCATGTAGTCCCACGTTTCTTTGTTTAGTCTTCAGCCAATTCAAAGTGTCTTTCAAACAGGCTTTGGAAAATTCACACTAAAAAAATATGTGAGCATTAGTTCCCGGATGAGGGCCACACAGTGGGCATGTTATATCTTGTCCAATGCCCATTTACACCATTCTCTCTCTAGTCAGTAGTCTGCATCGCATTGCTAACCAGAAGATAAAACTGCGTTTTGGGACATTTGTACGGTTCCACACTGCCCTCCACCAGTCCCTTTGTTGGCCTTCATTTTGGTTCCATTGATAGCCACTTTTGATCGTATATATTAGAATTGTTGTTTGTAAAATCAATGATATCAGTACTAATTAATGGGCCAAGTTATAGATATAACAAGCTTAGCTTAGCTTAATTACCTCAATTTTTGCATAGTAGACATAGTCTGCTTTACCATCTTTGGTCAATTCTTCTTCCATTTCATCAAAATAATCTATAAAGGCTTGATAAAGAGGTCTCATATACATCGTTATTGAATCCATAGCACTAGGGGTGTACAAAATCGAACCAAACCATAAACCGAGTCAAACCGAAAAAAAACCCGACTAGTGGTTTGGTTTGATGACTTGGTATTTAAATTATGATCATTTTCATTATGACTTTGCAATATTTATTTTATATGATGTTTCATTATTATTTTTTATTGAATATTTTAGTGTCATCAGTACTCATCTCATATTTTGTGTTATTTTCTTAAGAAACACCTTAGATAATTGTATTTTGGTTGGACTAAAGAAATATTTGGAGCACAAGTTAATTATATGTTGTATGCAAACTTTACTGAAAAAATCCAAAAATCTGAAAAAATTTGAGGTTTATTAGTTTGGTTCGATTTATAAATTTAAAAATTCGACACAATGACTTGATTTGGTATTTGAAAAACCCGAATCAACCCGAGGTTGAAAAACCTGAAAAAATCCGAATTTTATTAGTTTGGTTTGATTTATAAATTTAAAAATTTCACAAATGATTTGATTTGATATTTGAAAAACCCGAACCAACCCGATCATATACACCCCTACATAGCACTAATGTCACATCTGCACATATGCATAAATAATACATATTTTTACTCAATGTAACAACATTGCACATAGAACGAATAAAATTAATGACAAAGGCTAATAATTAAGTTTTTTATATATAAGTTTTACCTCTCTATTGCATCAGTGTAAGACACAAGTTCATCATAAGTTGGATAAGCATCATAGAGATCATCAGTGAGGTAATAATAACAATTAATTTTGTTATCATTCTTCTTGCACATATATATTGAGGCCCAAAATACACCCTCATTGCCCAAAAATAACATTCCACCAATTTGTCTCTT